TTCAAAAACACCAACAATTGCTTCAACTCTTCAAAGAACAAGCTTAAACGAGGGTTAGGAGCTCTAGGGGTGAATGGGGGCTGGCTTGGGGCAGATATGTTGCTTAAATAGGGTGCAAACCCCTGAAACTTAGGGTTTCATCCAACAGCAGTGACTCGCCGAGTCCAGGATATGGACTCACCGAGTCGCCAACTTAAACGTGTCCCGTGTGTCGTCCCTACTCGGCGAGTCTGACCTATGACTCGCCGAGTCCAAGGTTTAAAAAGGAAAAATACTCAATGAAGATTTACATACTAGGAACTAGGCGCTACAAAAATACTCATGTGTAACAAGAATTTGGTTCTCGTCGATCATTTCTACTATTATTGTATCATCTAACGGGACTAATGGTATTTTAATCTTCTCAACAAATTGACTTGACACAAATGAAAAGGTCACGCTAGAATAAAATACAACACATATGGTAAGTGAGTTTAGAGTAAAAGTACCTGGAACAACATCAGGTTTTTCTTTAGCTTCGTTAGTATCATTTGAAAAGCCCATGCTCTCGTAACCATGCCTTTTTCTTCATTTTTTTTCACATCCTTCGGTCCTCCTCTATCGTTCCACCAAACATTTCTCAGCACCTCAGTTTTTTCCTTTCGAGAATTTGCATAAAAGTGGTCCTCTCTCTACAGTTAAAACATAATTGTTTAGTTGCCAAACAATTTATTACGGTGTGCCCTGTCTTTCTGCACTGGAAGCAATTTAATGGAACCGAACTGCTGTTGCAATTTCCCACATGCTTTTTGCATCACCTCTCACGCCATTTACCATCATCTCTTATTGACTTAGTAGGATATGATTTTCTTTACATTTTTCCTCTTTTCAAGGATTCGTCAACTCTACTTTCCCAGTGGCACATTTCTCCTCTTACTTCTCTATCTCCACCCCTTTCCCTTTCTTGATCTTGAGGTCTCAGTTCTATTTCATGATCTCTTGCAGCATCAACTACTTGACGAAAACTAGTATACATGGAATCCCATATGAATACACATATCGGTGTCCTTAATCCCCATTGGTAATTTTCGATATTTCTCTCTTCAGTATCAACCAAATGTCTTGCAAATCAAGATTTATCTTTAAATTCAACTATGTATTCTTTAACTGATTTTGTTCCTTGCATAAACTTGGAAAATTCTTATTCTAATTGTCGCATTGTATTTTGAGAATAATATTCTTCACAGAATTTTACCTTGAATTGCTCCCAGGTTAACATTGCCACTGACTCTTTTCCTAATGTACTACTGATCAGTTCCCACCAAAAATGGGTTGCGTCAGTCAGCAAGTTAGTGGCATAATCCACTTTTGTAACATCCCAAAAATACGACCAAATTTTTTTGTTTAAATAGTAATAAAAATCATATACTGTTTGTCATATCATAAAGACCATGTGTCAAATATCTCAACTCATAATAAAATGTCGTGAAACAACTGTATCAAATCAAACTACAAATCAAAACAAACTCCCAAGATAAAGACTGAAGCTGTGGTGTGTGCGATGCCATCATCCCGAGCTCTTCCCCTTACTTGCGGAAGTACCTGAAACCAAAACTAAAACTATAAGCATGAAGCTTAGTGAGCTACCCCAAACTACCACATACCATACAATAACATATAAACACGTACTGGGCCTTGCCCACTGCATCAGGCTGAAGCCCAGAAACTGCATCGGACCGTAGTCCGGAACTGACTGCAACCTTGTCCCCTGCATCGGACTGATGTTCAGAACTAGCTGCATCGGACCGAAGTCCGAAACTGACTGCATCGGACCGAAGTCCGGAACTAACTAATCGTAGCATAACATAAACACATATCAACTAGCATAACACACATGATCATAAACTCATATACTGCATACTACGTCAGGCCGTAGCCCATAACACATAACACATAAATCCTGTCTGAGCCACGAAGGCATCAAACACACTAACAACTGCATCGAATCGAAGTCCGGAAACTACTACTAACTAAACGAGCCGGCATTGTGGCCTTAGACCCGTTCCTACTGGAAGGAAACTGACCTCGTAGCCTAGCTGCTGAAAGGACTGCTCTGGAATCTGTCTGCTGCGTCTCCGGTTTCACCCCGGCTACAATATCCATGAGCACCATCAATCAAATACTGATAATAATAATAATATTGAGGGTAAAATGACTCTCCTACCCCTGGTCCAAGTCAAGCTAACTATCAAAGTCAACATTCAGTTGACCTGACTCGTCGAGTTGGGCCGCCAACTCGTCGAGTCCTTACTCTTACTTCCTTGATTCCACTCGCTACTACTCGTCGAGTTTTGGCGCAAACTCGGCGAGTTCCTCTTCGCTACTAACACTCTGACAATCTGCATCTGACTCGCCGAGTTGTATGAACAACTCGTTGAGTTCTCCTTCCTCAGATGATCATTCTAGTTGTGACTCGCCGAGTTGTATGAACAACTTGTCGAGTCTATTCTTGAAGTATGAAGATGGCCTTGGACTTGCCGAGTCAGGGCATTGACTCGCCGAGTTCTTCCACGAATGAGTCTAACCCTCTAGCTCACTAAGTCCACTTCTCACTCACTGGTTCCACTCGACATAACTCGAAAAAGGAAACACAGGGGACTCGCGACTCGACTCGCCGAGTCGTATGCATGAAAATACTATACACTCGATTCTGCTTGAAACTAATCCATGCCATTAATAGATCTGGGTTCCTGGGACTTGATTTACATGTAAAGTTTCCAACTTTACATGTAAATAACATCAAATGAAGGTTTTAAGGTTAAAAGCACACTATAATAGTATATCTAGAGCTTTCATGCAAAATGGATCCATAAAGGTGCTAGATCTAAGCTCATGGAAATCAAATCTAGCTAGATCTGAAGGTTAATCAACTCCATGAGTCCTCTATGCTACTACTAAGCTAAGAAATGGTTCAAGAATGGCTTTAATGGCTTCACAAAGGAGATTTAAGCATAGAAACAGAAAAGGGCCAAGATATACCTTACTTTCTTCTGAAATTCCTCAAGGATCTAGGATTTCCTTCTCCTCTTGATCTACCTTTCTTTATCTCTGAAAATCTTCAAAGAATACACCAAAATCACACAAAATTCAAAAAGGGCTCTAGGGTTTCGAGAATGAAGCTCTGAGGGGTGATGGGGGCTGACTTGAGGCCCCCAAAAGTTTTTTATATAGGGTGCAAACCCTTGAAATTAGGGTTTCATCCAGACTGGCGGACTCGCCGAGTCGCCAACTTAAACGTGCTCGAAATCGCGACCCAACTCAACGAGTTCGGCTACTGACTCGTCGAGTTCCCCTTAACACTTGAAGAAATGTAACAATAAATAACAATAAAAAATATCATACCAGAATTGGGGTGTTACAACTTTATTTTTCTCTACACATTTGCTAGTACGAAATTTTTTCTCGATGTGGGTTAACCACGTCATAGAAACTCTCAGGTCAACTCCATGGGTTTACAAGCTATGAATGCTTTAAAAGCGTATCCTATCTTCTTCGAAGTCTCCTCCTTCTGGCCCTCACCTCGTGTTTCACCTTGTTTCTCTTTATTAACATCTTCTACGATCTTATCTTGCTTTGTTTCTGATTTGACTCTTTCCTAGCATTGAGAAGAGAAGGCAAAACATCTCCGAATGCTTTAGTTACTTCTTCAACGATTGTTTCTCTAAGTTCTGGGGGTTGTTCAGGTGGCCTATCATGTCCTCCTTGGCGTACCAAACCTTGTGACCTTTCTGGTTCACGATCAGAACCACCCCATCCATGTGACCCACCTCCATTACAAGTATCCACCATCTTATACAAAAAACTTTAACAATTTAGCTCAGCATTTCCATATAAGTATACATGTATCTCACTATCATATATCATTAATAATTAAGTATGGTTACAATGAATAACTTTAATAATGGTGAGTTATGAGCGTGTGTGAAAGACTAGTACATACAACCATACATACAACACTATTTATAGACACAACCTATTAGTGTTATCGACCGGTCATAACACAATAGATGGACTTTGAAGCTAAAGCATACAATTAATGTGTCATGTATAATAAAAAGATATATCAAAGTGGTAACACTTCGATACAGACAATACAATACTTTGATGCTTCCAATTCTCCACTTCGATGTATAAGCAGGCTTCAGATGAACACTTAAAATTTGATATTCTTCACAACATAAGGGGACTCAACAAACTCATTGACACAACTCCTATTCATGGAGATGCAAAAGCTACTAGTTGTGAAGGACATATCACATTCCGGATTAAGGGGAAAGCGTTGGAGTAATCCATAATTCAAATGTCTGAGTTATCTAATTTTGAATTTTAGTCTTTATCTTTCCTACATTTTAGCAGTAGACATAGTGAGTTTGTTTCTTTCTAGTTTCTTCCTTGTATCCCATCGGCCATCAATATAAGTAGGATGGTGTTTTTCAAATTTTATACGGCTGTTTTTTTCGAGTTGAATAAGAAAGGCAAAAGTTGATTTGTTCACCTCTGTTTTCTTCTATTCCTATTTCTCTTTCCGCTTCTCACAGTGATTTATATACTTAAAAGTTTTGTACACATTCAATCTAACAATATCTTATTGTTCAATTTGTAAGCAAAAGAAAGTATAACCACTTTAACAATTACCAAAACTTTACTTAGGATTCACACGATAATGTGGGTTTTCAAGCTTTTCAGGGTGTCTATCATTATCTTCATATGGAGAAACATTATGCAACTCAAGCCTCATGAATAGCTCAAATCCAACATACCAAAAAGGCAAAACTAGTTTAAAATCAAACTAACCTGCAAAACCACATACCACCATTTTAATTCTTCTGGTTTAATCTTTCTGATTTTTCTAACCAAAATCTAATGCTCATACAATCCAAATGAAGCTCAAGAAATACATCAATGGCATACAACAACTCCTAATCTAACTATCCCCTCCCCCCCCCCCCCCTCCCACCCAACCCCAAACACCTATCCAACACCATATCCAAAACCTTTCTTCCCTCCATCATTACTATGCTTTCTCATCTCCATAATCTTCCTGTGTGAATTCGAATGCTTCACACTTGAAAAAGTCGGGCTGCTCGCCGGGCGGTACTCGGGCACCAACCGCCCGGACTTATACCGGACCCCACATGCATTGCACAAAGTCTTGGGACCCATCGGACCTGCCCGCCATTGTGGGGTTTTCTCAGCTAAGCAATGCTGACACCTTCTTCCAATGCCCGTGGCGGCAGTTGGTGGTTGTGGTGGTGGTGGAAGCAAATCTTGTTTTTTCATGTTTTCTTGATTCCACCACCAGCATTGCTCGCTTGGCAACTCCGGGAAACCTTTTCTTCTTTTTCGCCTGCGCTTTGACCGCTTTTTGACCGGATAACTTATTGGAACATGAAGGCTGCCACAACAGTTTGTAATGGTGCTGTTGCTGTTGCTGTTGGTGTTGCTATGGCTGCTACTGGCGCTGTTTTCAAGAACAGAAACTGGGCTCAGGTGATCAACCACCATGACAATCGGGTTTGGGTTTGGATTTGTGATAATGTCAAAACATGTTTCAAGTGCGGGAAATGCATCCTTGTTTGACAACCATTCAAGTTCTTCTTCTGCAAATTCCTGTACAGGAAAGGTAAACATGACTCAGTCGTCAACTCGATGAGTTAAATCCAAAAAGGTCGTATTTTTTTTGATAATTTTCAACATTGGTGCTTAAAGATTACAACTTTATACGAAAATAATACATGGGTCGTTGTTATTTAGCATTGGTTGGGATAAATTTAAAGGATGTAACGAGTCGAGTCCGAGTTAAACCAACTCGGTATCATCTGTTCACTTCATTGCTTTCACACATAGTTGACTATTTTATTTAAGACAGTTAACATCGCTATCGCTATCGCTATCACTATTCGCTCCTATTACTGAGTTCCGAGTTAAGGACGTTCAACTCGGGGGTTTACGACTCGTATAGACCGATTCAACTCATTAACCAAACGAGGGCGAACGATTTTGGTCGGAAAAGGCACCGGAGTCCCTGTGTTTGTCCGGTTCAAGGCAAAATACGACTGGGTTTCGGTCGAATGGAAAGTAAAACTTAATAAACTTACAGGAAATGAACCGCTGCAATCATCTGGTTCTTGACTGTTAGTTTTTGAAAAGTCCATGGAAGAAGAAGGGGGTTTGGTGGTGTTGTGTTTATCGTCTAGGTCTTCGTCTTCACCATCCAAAGAAAAGTTCAGAATGTCGTCATCAATCATCAAACAGGAAGTTGGGTCTAAAGCCATGTCCAGTAAGAAGAGGAAAACTCGAAGAAATCTTGAAAAAGGTTTGTCTGAAACTCGTCAATGGAGAGAAGAAGACATGAGGAGGAGATGGAGGCGGATTCTTTGGCTTAAATTATCAACATTGTTGTTTGAGGGTTTTTGGATGGCAAAGAAAGGATGTCGATTTTTGGCTGCTAGCCCTTGCCTTATGTTTATTACACTTACACCCCTTTGAATATTTGGGCTCTTCACTCTACAAGTATGAAACTTCACTTTTTTCATACGAGGACCTTTTACTTTAGTGATTTCCAGCTTGCCACTTCACACTTGAAAGAGAATAATAAATGTACCCACGATGGGGAGAACAAATATATAAGAATAAAACCATGAATAATTTGTAGGACTAGACTTGGTACTTTTATGTTCCTTTTGTCACATATGGTATGAGTTTTATCATATTTGGTATGCATTGCATTAAAATTGTGATTTGTGTCGATAAAAAATGTAACATTTTGTAACATATAACATGAGTTTTATTATATGTGATATGTATTCAATTAATACTGTAAATGATATCAATAAAAAAGTTTTGTTCCAACTAGAATAATAAAAATGAATATGGAGCAATCTCATTCTTGAGATACTGTCTCTTCAAGGAATTGAATCTAATCATGTTTACTATCAAAAATAGTTTTAGAAAGCCTAATCGGATTTCTCAAACATATTCTCAATTCCATTTAGTGTCACAAATAACATATGCATCCTTAGTATGGTAAGAGGGTGAGAGATGGACACCAAACTTGAGATAATTGAAGCTTTAAAAGAACTAGAGAAATTAACACTCTTAAAATTAAATTCCAAAATGTCATTATGTAAAAATAACATTTTTAAGGTTTTTGTTGCATTTCTTTTACAGATTACTATAAGGAGATGGTAAAATCTCATATTTGATATTGTTGGTAATGATGAATAAGAAAGACATAAAGTCAATCATGTGTTTATTCGCTAAAGATCAATAATAAATTTTTTAATTAATAAAATATTTAGGATATTTCAAAGTAAAATTTTAGATGAGATATGTACAACCACCCATAAGCATCCAGCATCATATATTATCTTAGAATATATTAAGGCGCAATTGATGGACACCAAATGTCAATATTTGGTGGAACAACATACCCAAAGTAACTTGCAAATTACACATTTTATTCCAAGGGTATAAAGCGTCCATTCACGATGTTAGTAGGGGTATATTGTGTAGTATAAGGATAACTTTAGGTGCTTGAAAGTGAAATAATGAAGAAAGGCACGGGCCGCCTACGCTAACAGCGTGCTTCGATGACTACAATGATGTTTTCAACATGGTGCGACTAGCATGTCGAGTAGCCAATAATAAGTGAACACGTAGTATTGGTTCGTTTCAAATTTAACATATTTGACCCACCCGACATCGCACGTGACCGATATAATTATCGTCATGCGCCATTCTTGTATTTTTTTTTTTTCTTTTTCTCTTTGACACATGAAAATACCCATGCAATTTAATATTCACGAGCTCATAATCTATTGTAATTGATATTTTAACTTTTAAAAAGATACGACATTATTTAATAGTTAATCGATACGTAATACATAAAATAATGGTATTTAATGTATATTGTATTAATACATGGTCACAATTAATCAGGGTTTTTAAATGATTCTTAGTGTGGACTTTTTGGATTTTGATGTTAGATTAGGTCCCGCCTGTATTTGACAACGGTGCAGGCATGGGTAGATGATCATATTTCTTGTATCTATCTCGTATCTTGTATATCCTCTTCATGTTCATTCCCTGTCAATTTCTTCACTCACTCTATATTACATATGTGTTTTTGGATCTGGTCTAGACGTGTTTTCTACTTAATATATGTTATATAGAAAGTTAATTAAAGCAAGGATACCCATTAAAACTATATCAAAACATGAATATCAATAGATTATTGTATTCTATTTCATAATGAAAGGCAATAAAGGCCTGCCCATATATCTATATTTAGAGACCCTATAATATTTTATTTTTTCCAAAACCGTAAAATATCATTTGGGTAATAATATCTTAACATGTATCATATAGTATAGTTCCCAAAAATACACTTAAAAGAATTTGCTAGACAAATGATAGTGTACGGCTTATAATTAGTAGCAAATAAATCACATCAGGGACTTGATGATATTCGGTCCATTAACATGACCTACACAAGATAAGAACACTCCTTAGCAGTACAGTTTGACAATATTTTTTGACAACATTGCAATATGATAACATTATAAGACAAAACAATATGACAATGTTTTTTTTATAACCCAACTCATCAGCCCAACCCCTGATGAGTTGGGTTTAAATAGGTTGGTCCTATCTATTTGTCATTTGATCTAACCTTATAAATAGAATAATTTCTCCTTAATGATGAAGATCATTATTCTCATATCTAAGCCCCAGTATACATATACATCTATCCTTAAGATGGTTCTTTCCATTATGAAGAAACTATTTCCTTTTACACATCATCATCACTTGATGATTAGAGTAGAGTCTATTCTTGAGCCTAGTCCATGTGCGGTTCTAACGATTTCTCTCTATGCAGCTAGGATTTTGAAATCAAGTTGGAAACTTGCTAACGACACCAGTTCTAGATTTATGATCCAGACCTGACAACAAAACCTAATGGTTAGAATATAGATCCCATAATTTTCATAAATGTTTATATCTTATTTATATATTAAAGATATCAAACTACAAAATTAATAATAATACCCCAAATAAGATACTTACATCACATACAAATAGATATCTAGTCATTTCTAGCCTTACAAACCAAATTTGCATAACAAATGCTCCGAACAATGATTTTATACCTCAATATCTAGCTTTTTCGTCAATCGAAACAAGCACTGTCATCGCAGAACATTTTTTATTTTAATATTGAACAACTTTAAATCTTAGGTTGGTACAAAAATATCAACTTGTCACAACGCTTACCTAGAGTTTCCATAAAGTTGGTTGGGCGTTACCATGACACTGCATTAAATATCTTTAACGTTGGACAACTATTGGCCTCAATATCCCATCCCTTAAGCTTATTGTTGCCATAATGCTACTTATATGTCCAAGAAATAGACCTTTAGTTTTATTGGCATACTTAGGCCAAGTCCAACGTAGATACGATTCCAACTTGATAGTGGTATCGAATGGTCAAAAATATTCTTTAACTAATTCTATCTTGAATCGAAGTCTTAATCTTAGTTGCATCCTTATAAACTCTCAGTTAATGGTATTTAATACCAATTTAGGATGATCCTAACATCTCCACCATATGTTACAATTATTATCTCCCCACACAACTTAAGGTTGACCCAACTCTTGTTTTTTCATAATTTCAAGGTCAAATCTTGTTTTCGTTGTAAATAAGATATAATAGACACGTAAGGAAACCGACAAGTAATATTGAGAATTATACGTTAAGTAATTATGATAAATAAATCTAATTATTATTATTATTATTACTAAGTTTCGTCCACAAATCAAATCAATCCTTCTTGGCTAGATCTGATTATAAGAAAATAGTAGAAGCAGACTTTCCTTTGCTGAACGAAAGTAAAAACGAAACAATAATGTAAAACCAACCTGTTGACAGTTGATCTTGATCTTAATTGTGGAATAACTGCACGGATCGAGCTCCTGACCTTAAAGGTTTTTAGTTCGCTTCTATCGGTTGTAAGTAATAGAGTAAAACTGTAACATCTAAAAATTTTCAACCAAATTAAACTTTTCAAAAACAACCCATTTTCATTAATTCATTACAAAAAGGTTTTCTATTCATTTATTATCAGAGTATTTCCCAGAACCACATCATAAGTACATAAAACATGAGGAGCGGTACGATCACGCCTTCGCCTTACCACGATCTTTCGAAGTACCTGAAACAATACACTGAAAACTGTAAGCCCGAAAGCTTAGTGAGTTACCCCCAAAATACCAACCACAAATACCATACACATAACATATCATATCATAAGCAGAACAGCCATGCACTTCGTGTCTACTGTATGACTGGTCCGCCGCACCGGGCCTTCAGTCCACCTGGTCCACCCTCCGAGTCTAGCCATATACATTAAGTCTGCAATGTGGTTGGTCCGCTTGCACTGGGGCTTCAACCCACCTGGTCCACTCTCTGAGTCTACAGTATGACTGGTCCGGCCGCACCTGGCCTTCAATCGGACTGGCCCACTCTCCGAGCCTCAGCACGTCTAGTCCACCCTTGTGGGGCCTACAGCACAAAGCAGGATCCGCCTCAACACAAAGCAGTCCACCCTTGTGGAGCCTCGGCACGTCTAGTCCACCCTTGTGGGGCCTATCCGGACAGCTCGCTAGGCCTTCGGGATATCCAGTTCACCCTGGGTATGTTGGCCTACAGCACAAAGCAGGACCCGCCTTAACCCAACCCCAGTCAACCAACCATGTGCACATAAACATATAATCATATAGCAATTAATCACTAATCAACTGATCTAGCAGATCACATACATAGCACACTCTAACCAGGATACCGACCTAACCGGTCACTAACATAACATCATCCTATACCAGGATTCCGACCTTAACCAGGTCTCTAACATATACCATCCTAACTACTAGAATGCAAACATATAGCAAAGCAATAACATAACAACTACCGGGATCCCATTCGTTAAAAGGCCGACCTTGGTGCCATAGACCCTTTCGATATAGTGAGGATAACTCACCTCACAACTGCTGACTGAAGAGATAAAATCAAGCTGCTCCAACCTCCGACATGAACTCCACCACTAATCAATACCAAATGATTGAACTCAATAAATACCAATAATTACCCAAATACCCTTGGAAGTCAACTGGTCAACTCTTGGTCAAAGTTAAAGTCCTCAGTCAAAGTCAAACACCCTGACTGACTCTACTCGCCGAGTCAACCCGCTGACTTGTCGAGTCCCTATGCTCTGAAAACTCCCATATCGTGACTCAACTCGCCGAGTCACCCCATGATTCGTCGAGTCCAACAACTCTAAGTCCCTTCTCGCTCAACTCACTGAGTCATCCCTCGACCCACCGAATCACCACTCAACCAGAAAAGGTTAGGACTCCACGACCAGAATCGTCGAGTCCACGAACAGACTCGCCG